AAGAAGACCGATCAAGATCCTAAATTTTACGATCACTGGGAACGGTGTAACGCCGTAGTCTTGTAGTGGATATTAAGCTCGGTGTCTAAAGAACTTGCGAGCAGCCTAGTATATTTTGAGGACGCATCATCGGCATGGGGAGACTTGAAGGAAAGATTCGACAAGATTTCTGGGTCACGGATTTTCTATCTCCATCGTGAAATCCACTCTCTGTGCCAAGGTGATGTCTCCATTTCTGCCTATTTTTCTCGACTAAAAGAGTTGTGGGAAGAACAAGGAAATTTAATGGCTATCCCGTCTTGCAAGTGTCCCACTTCTCAAGCATATCATGAGGCCACTTAGAGACAGAGGTTATTGCAGTTTCTAATGGGACTGAATGAGGCATACACGAGTGCTAGGAGCCAAATACTCCTAATGCAACCTCTTCCAACAGTCAACCAGGCGTATGCGATGATCCTGGAAGATGAAGCACAGAGAAACATTGCAAGTCTGGAGAAAATAGTTCCTAATGAAGGGATGGTGATGACTGCGAAGGGAAGAGGAAGAGGAAGAGGTAGAGGGGGAGGTGCTCCCTTACCTGAGTGTGACCACTGCCATAAGAAGGGTCACACCAGAGATAGTTGCTGGCAAATAGTAGGGTACCTTGCAGACTTTAAAGGGAATAAAAGTAGACAGAATCAAGAGAACAAAGGAAATCAAAGTGGAGGATATCGAGAGGCAGAGGCTCTCACCAACACTTCAGGGGTTGTATCTCCGAGCTTTACCTTTGAGCAATATGAACGGTTATTGGAAATACTGAAGAAAGATTTAGAAACCAACGCACATGCACTCACTGGTACAAGTTTGCATAATTCTCCTATCACTAATTTGAATCATAGTAAATGGGTTATCGATTCAAGAGCTACCACTCATATGGTTAGTGATTTAGGTCTATTAGATAATTATCAAACTTATAATGGACCTATTAAAAGCATAAGAATTCCTAATGGTGATCGTTTTTTGGTAACCCACATAGGAAATGTTAAATTTCCTAATGGAATAGAATTAAGAGGAATTTTGTATGCTGCTGAACTACAATTTAATTTGATATCTGTTTCACGCATAACAAAGGAAAATCTATGTGTTGTTTCTTTCTATCCTAATAAGTGCACCTTGTAGGGCCTTCTGATGGGAAGATGAGGGGGATTGGTAGAGTAGATCATGGTTTATACCTGTTGAGATTGGAAAAGGATCATATTTGCATGAATTCTGTTCATGATCGTTGCACTGATAAGCCTGTTGATCTGTGGCTTTTGCATGAAAGAATGGGGCATGCACCCCTCAATGTAATCAAACACTTGAAAATAGTGAAAGACAAATCTATAGCAATGAATAAAAGTTGTGATACTTGCTTTTGGTCTAAACAGACCAAACTCCCCTTTCCCTCTAGCTGCATTAAAACCGTTAAATGTTTTGATTTACTTCACATGGATGTTTGGGGACCCTATAGGGTTCCTACACACTCAGGGTTTTAATATTTTCTTACTAGAGCTACATGGACTTATCTTATGAAGAATAAATCTGAAACTGCTTATCACATTAAAACTTTCTTTTCTTATATTTTAACTCAGTTTAACACACGTGTTAAAAGAGTGCGAAGTGATAATGGTAGTGAATTTGTCAATCATGATTTGAGTAGTTATTTTAAAACAGAAGGTGTCATCCATGAAACTACGTGTCCTTATACCTCGGAACAAAATGGAATAGTAGAAAGAAAGCATCGTACCTTGATGCAAATCTCTAGGGCATTAATCATTCAGTCTGGTCTGCCTATCAGGTTTTGGGGGGAATGTGTTAAAACTGCTACTTATCTTGTGAATAGAATACCAAGTAGGATTTTGAGTTTTAAGACCCCTTATCAAATTGTTCATGGTCAGGCTGCGGATTACAGTAATCTGAAAGTTTTTGGCTGTTTATGTTATGCCACAGATCTTATAGTCACTGACAAATTTCAAACCAGGTCTATTCCTTGTGTTTTTTTGGGTTATCCTCTTAACCAGAAGGGGTTTACTTTGTTAAATCTGAAAGATAATAGGATTTTCATAAGTAGACATGTTCGGTTTGTTGAAAATGTTTTTCCTTTCAGACATGTTGACAGCACTGGTCAAGGGGGAGTATATAAGGAAATGAAACAAATGTTTTTCTTTGATGTTTTTGATGATGTGCCGATTCAACATAAGGAGGTTACAGAAAACGAAATAAGAAATGATTTTCCTATGGAAGAGAGTGTTGCAGACCAACTTTATCCTAATGATAATAAGGATAACGAACATCAACAAGGTAGACCTGTTAGGGGAGAAGACCTCCAATATGGCCTAAGGATTATATTTGTAACATGGCACAAACTCTCTTAGAACAGTCAGGTTTCCAAATTAATGCTAAGTCTACCTGTAAATATCCCATTGAGAACTACATCTCATATGATAACATTCCTTCTTCTTATATGTGTTTTATTTGCTCTATTGATACTGCTTTTGAACCCACTCATTATAATGAAGCTGTTAAGGATGATAATTGGGTTGCTGTGATGAAAAATGAAATTCAAGCCTTAGAAGAAAATAAAACTTGGGACATAGTCCCAATGCCTAAAGATAAGAAGCCAATTGGTTGTAAGTGGGTGTATAAAATAAAGTACAAACTTGATGGCAGTGTTGATAAGTATAAAGTAAGGCTGGTAGCAAAGGCTTATAATCAGGTAGAAGGAGTTGATTATAATGAAACTTTCTCACCAGTAGTTAAAATGGTAACTGTGAGGACTGTTCTTAAGTTGGTTGCTGTGATTGGCCCTTGTATCAAGTGGATGTGAATAATGCTTTCTTACAAGGGGATCTTAATGAAGATGTGTACATGACTATACCTCAGAGATTTGAAAATCGGGGAAATAATATGGTTTGTAAGCTTAAGAAATCCTTATATGGGCTTAAACAGGCTTTTAGGCAATAGAATCAAAAATTATCATTGTCTTTACTGAATGGGGGTTTCTCACAAAGCAAGCATGATTACTCTTTATATGTCAAACATTATGATAACGATTTAGTAATCATTTAGTCTATGTAGATGATCTTTTGATCACTGGTAGTAATGAGCAACGAATTGAACAGGTTAAAAGTTTTTTGCACAATCATTTTAAAATCAAAGATTTGGGAGTCATGAAATATTTTTTAGGGATAGAAGTTATTAGGTCTAAGGAAGGTATTATGGTTTTCCAAAGAAAATATGTACTAGATTTGCTTGCAGAAACATGTATGAGTGGATGTAAGCCGCTCACACTGCCAATGCCACAGCATCTCAAGCTGGTTGCATTTGAAGATAAGAGACACCAAAAGGAAGATTTACTTTAGGAACCAGGGAAGTATAGGAGACTGATTGGTAAATTGATCTATTTAACAATTACAAGACCTGATATTTCTTTTCTTGTACAGGTACTTAGTCAATTGATGCAATTGCCCATGAAGTCTCATTGGGCAGCAGCATTGGGAGTTCTGAGGTATCTGAAGCAGTCACTAGGACTTAGGATACGATTGAGTTCAAATAAAGATCTAAACCTGCGATGCTTCTGTGATTCAGATTGGGGGTCGTGTGAGACCATGAGGAGGCCTGTCACGGGATATCTTCTCAAACTAGGGGATTCCCTCATTGTCTGGAAAACTAAGAAGCAGACAACGGTGTCCAGATCCTCAGTAGAAGCAGAATACCGTGCTTTGGGTTCAGCTGTATCTAAAGTGATTTGGGTTAGAGGACTGTTATCAGATATGGGACTTCATGTAGAAAGTCCAGTTAATATATTCTGTGATAGCAGATCAGCCATTTATATAGCCACAAACCCAGTCTTCCACGAGAGAACTAAGCATATTGAGATAGATTGTCACTTTGTGAGAGAGAAAGTGACAGAAGGACTTGTAAAATTGCAGCATGTGAGGTCTGCTAGTTAGGAGGCAGATATTTTAACTAAGGCTATAGGAAAGGAGACACAATTGAGGTTGCTTGGCAAGTTGGGTGCTTGTAATTTGTTTCAACCCCAACTTGAGGGGGAGTATTAGAAAGGTTATTGGGTCGTTTAGTTGTTTAGGTGTATTGGGCCTGGGCTTAATTGCTGAGCCCATTTTTGGTCTTTGTTCGGTGGCTAGCTCTATTTAGGTGCTGGTGTTATTGTGTTTTGTATGGACTCATGTTTACACAATTCAATGGTATTATTCAGCTGTGCAATTCTTTGATTCTTATTACTTATATAGACGAGTAGCTAGATAGGTTTGAGCATCGCATGTTGTGTAATTTACATTTCCAATACCTAAGTCAATGGTTTACAAATTACAATTACCTTGTTTAACCATGTGGATTATAAAAGCAGAAATCTCAAGTGGTTTTTGCTTGAGAACTGAATGTAGCTTAGGTTCAAAGGTGGAACTAAAGCAGCACAAACTTTGTTTGCAATCTCTGTCCCTCAACTAACTCGTTATGATATTTTCATCTCCATCTGGATGATTCTCCCCCCCCCCCCCCCAAAAAAAAAAAAAACCATCGAGACATATCTGTATCTTTAGAACATTATATTCCAATACTTCTTTCGACCCATCTTAGAGTATCTCCAAAGGACAAAAGGTAGTATCTTATTAATAACCTTCATAAGATCAAGGAAGTTAGTTAAAAATAATTAAATGTAACAAATTCTCACAACTCTCCAAAACAACCCTTCAATTTATAAAACTAATATAGCATTGAGAGATGGAGAAAAGGAAGAAGAGTAAAAGAGCACGGATATTTTTGAAAATGAATCATAATAACTTCATTAAATTTCGAATAGAATTTTATGAAGAACCAATGAATACGATGTTCTATATATAGGACGAGAGGGTGTGTGTGTGTGTGTATTAACCTTCAAATTTTGGTGTCCGCCAGTAAAAAAACGTAGAAGCAATTCAAGTTATAGGATACTTTAAACGTAACATATAGAGTGAGAGAAGAAAGAGAAAGGGAAGCCACTTGGAACATAACTTTATTCATGTTAGGCTTATTCAGATACAGATGGAGAAAAGGAAAGCACATGAAGCATTATTTTATTTTACTTGCAACACGCAGTGGCTTCATCAGCATTTCCATAGTATAGTAAGCTCTTCATGCAGCAGATGATGCAGCCTTGTGAAACACAACAACGAAAGGGTTATTATTGTCAACAACTAAAATCCTATCTCCTTTGTTGTTCCTGGAGATCCCAAGAGCACTGCAAGAATCTTCATCAGTGGGACAGAACACAATCTTATAGGTCAACCCATGATATGTCTGGATGTTAAAAGAACCACGTAGGGTGTTTTGGTACCCAACAAGTTTCACTTGCTTTGTCTCATCTTCTCCGCCGACAATCGTCCATTTTGCTGGTCGGGCTGCGCACTCCGGTGGTGCAGCGGCGGTAAACTCCGTGATCAAGTTTGTGGTGAGATAAGCGATCAAGTAAGGAGAAGAAAGTTTAGTGGGCAAACCGTTTGAGAGTTCGGAGAAGGTTTGAACAACGGTAAGAGGGCAAGTTTCATTGCCGGTGGCGGCAAGGCCGACGCCACCGCCGTGTCCCCAGAGTGCAGGGAGGATGTAGTATGAGCCACCATTTCTGACGGGGTTACCTTCAGTGTCAACCAAAATATCAGCTTTGGCTGATATGAACGCAAAGAAAAGGAAGGCAAGCAAAGTGGTCTTCATTGCTTAAGATAATTTGGCTGTGACCGGACAAATTTTTTTTCTATGTTTGTTTGATGGGTGTGGTGTGGAGATGAGGGGATGAAAATTCTATTAATAGACACACTCCATACTTGGGAGGGGTAGTTTAGGTATTCCGTTAATAAAAAATCATTAAAGAAATTAGACTTTTTAGTCCTAAATAAATATAAGAGTTAACCTTTACTTTGATTTTAAATATATAAACTCAACCAATTTAAGTATTTTGTCTTGTGTCCTATATATCTCATCCTGAGACAATTTTGTTTTGTCTTGCTTTTTTTCTGTTCCAAATAATTTTGTGATGACATTGCCTAGTTCCAAAATGACTGAAACCAGGGCACATAGAAGCAGGACATTGCGATGGGACCAGTTAAACACCCTTAATATTTAATATTGGATATTAATATTAAATAATCTAGAGAATGAAAAGTTTTAAACAAAATAAAGTTTTCGTTTTGCATTAACTCCCTATAGCTTAGTTTTCATTATTATACTTTTCGAACTCTATTAAACATATCATTTTTCTTTAATGCATCCATCATGTTTCCATGCCTATACTGCTAATTATTATTCTCCAGATCTCATCTTTTCCGAGCCTTAAACTTACAAGTTCGTCCTAAATTGCATTTCACTACTTGTGGGAAAATTGCAACACAAGACCCCAGGCAAACCTTCATTTGTTGATTAGACAGTCAGGCTTAATTAACTCCAAACGTGGTTCTTATCTTTTTAACAAGCCGGAAGTCATAAGAAAATTTTGGAATAACAAGGTCACTGTAAGTGATTGCGCAACTACAAACAGATTGCTCTGAATCAAGGCATTACAAATCATAAAGATTATGGTTTAAACGACAACAGCTCAAATTGAGATTAAATCAGGGTTTAACTAGTCTTTTAAAATAATGTATTTTAATTAAAATAAACAAAAATATTCATATATATATAAATAAAATAATAATGACTTTCTTTTTATATTTTTATGGAATCACTAATAATTTTCTGTGAACGTACCCCTGGGCCCTGTCGCCCCAGCTGTGCGGTTGTGGTTAACGCAATTAAAAGGACGTCACGTGAATGAAAAAGATATTTCACCCAGCCCCGTAAACTTACCTTTGTCCTCTTCCTAATAAACTAATGCTCATAATCATTAATTAAACTAACACAGCCCCTTCGCAGTCACGAGAGTAAATTGAAAAAAGTTATAAACTAACACATGCATAATCATTTTGAGTTGTATGTTTAATGTAGCTAAAATAAACGAATATGAACCCTTCAAAATATAAGCATTAAATCATTAAAAAGGTCGGTTTGATTTTTTATCGGTTTCAATTTGGATTGTGCCCTCATTTAATGTATTTTTTTATTTTTATTCGTAATTAATTTTTTTCCTTTCTTCATTCTCTCTGCTACTCTCCATCTCCATACATAAGAATATGTTGAAAAAATAAATTACATTTTTTACATTTTTATCTTTAATCAGTTTTAATTAATTTTTTAAATTATATAATTTAATTATTTGATATTTATATTTTAAATCGAGGGAGTATTATTAATGGTCCTTCGTAGTTCATAATGTATAAAAATCCGACTCAATCGTGTGATGTGGTGGCATGAAAACGAGAGGATGGATGAATGAAATATTATGTTTGATGCTCATAAATACATAACGATGCTGCTCAATTATGGGAGTTAAATTTTATCTGAATTTTTGTCGTTTATGTATGATTATCTTTCAATGAAACCTTGCCGCCGCAGCTGTGCAGGTGATAAATGAAAAGCACTGAGGCGCGTCAATTAAAGTCACTGGAGTTAGATAACTAATTATAAAAATTAAAAAATAGTATATATTAGTGATTATAAAAAAAAAATATTTTTAACCTTATTTATAAAGTACTTTCAGTATCTGTTTATCAAACTAAGAAAATACTTTAAATTTTATTAAATCTCTATTAAAATATGATAACTTTTTAATTTTATTCATATTTAGTATATACATATTTTTTTAGAAAAATAACTGTCGTAATAAGTAAACGATAAAATAAAGTGTAACAATAAAATAAAAAATTAACCTTTTTATTTGAGTTGTGTGTGTCTGTGTGTGTGGGGGGCCAAAACAGGGCTCCATCGTAGCTCATTATTGGCTGGAAAGGTTCTATTCAACGAACTACGTGATGCTGTGGTACCAAAACGAGAGGATGAAAAGTTGCATTGGATGCTAATAATTTACTTGAACACGTGCATTTGAATTTTTGTCATTTATGTATGATTATCTTTCAATGCGGTTGTCATAAGGGAAAAGGACCCAGCCATGGCAAGTAAAAAGATTTACTTGTTGTTATATTAAATGTAAAAATTAGATAATTAATTTATAAAGATTAAAAAAATTATTTAAGTTAATAATTTATAAAAATTTATGTTGATTTTTTTTTAAAAGTACCGTCCCCAACAATATGCACTGAACTATCCTATTGATCCCGTAATATCTATAATTAATAGAGATAATTTTAAAAAATTATAAATTAAAGAGATAAATTACATTTAGGATTAAAATAAACTTTTTAATTACTTTTTATACTACTTCAGTTTTAATTATAAGAGCTAGTTAACTAATTTGAGGAGATTAAGAAAGTAAGTTGAATTAGTTATGTATCCTAAATAGTGTTGTCTTTCCTAAAATATCCTTATTAAAGTATTAACTAGAACTATCATTATTAAAAGGGTTACTTTGAAAAAAAAATGTATAAATATAAGAGATAAAATAGATTGAGATCTTATATTTAGAACCAAAATAAAAATCAAATAGGATCTTATATTAAAAACCGGAAGCAGATTTAATAGTGGAGGAGCCAAGATCATGCTACTGTTGTTCTGTCCTACTGCTACTGTTGTTCTGTCCTACTCTTAATAACTGAGAGTCCACAAGGCTAAGTTAAAAAATTTTGATATTCTCTCACTCATGTTTAGATTAGAAAAAGTACTCAACTCTTTTACTATCTTTTTTACTCCCTTATATATGAACTAAGTAATTAGTTGTAAAAACTGAAAAAAAAATAATTAACTAGTTATTTGTAATTATGTAAATTAATTTTCATGAATAAAATACCCTCTTTAATAATGTGTATTAGAACTATCATTTAATTAATATTTTCTAATATGTACAATCAATAATAATAGTTGGAAGAAAATATAATAAACTTAAAAATAAGTAAATTAACGTCTTACTCCTCTGGTCCTATTTATAGGGCAGAGAGAGAAGGTATTTTTTGATTCTATTTATAAGGCACTGAGAGAAATTTTTTATATGGATGTACAATTTTACTCCTCATTTATTATTGTGTTGACTTTGTTTATATGAGATATAATGTATATTAAATATGGATAAAGTTGGAAAGTCATAAAATTTAAATGAGAGTTAATGAAGTTTAAGATTTTTCTGGTTTGTGTGAAACATACTGAAAGTGTCTTATAAATAGGATCAGATGTATATATATATTTAATTAAGACCAAAGTAAACCACCAAACTAATTCTTATAAACAATCATTAATATGGAGACGGCATAAATGGGCCCCAAAGTTAAAGTCATCACGGATTGCGATTGTTTTGAAGCTTCAAGAATAAACTTATGCTGCAATAATTGAAGCAACAAGCAAAATGATATGGCTGAAAAACTCTAGCTTCTTCATTATTATTGTGGAAACCTAGGACAAAAGCTGGCAGACAAATTAAATAATACTACATCTTATCCTGGGTATAAGATTTTATTTATAATTTATAAATAAAACCTTTATAATTATGACGGGAGGTAGTAAAATTGATTTGGATCTTGGACCGTTTAGTTGGATGTTGGGAAGGATACGATGATAATGATAAATAGACGTCCATTGCTAAGTTAAATGTGTGTTAGGTTAGCCTTGTTGTGCAAAGCACAGTTGGTTTCTCCTTTCAATACCTAATATAAGAGTTACTAAATAACCAATTGTAAATATTAAAAAAAATAGTTAATTAGTTTTTTAAAAAAAAATCACTCATGATCCTAAATATAAGATCTACTTTGGAAGCAATATAACAATACTACATTTAGTCCCAAAATAGATCTTATATTTAGGATTAAGATAATATATGTTAATTTCTTCAAATATTCTTTTAATCACTAATGGCGATTAGATTTAATAGAAGAAGAATTTTACTGTTCACAACATGACAAATCAAGATTTAAATTGTGAAGTGCTCACAATTAATGCTAGACATACTTTTAACAAAGTTATTTCTAATAAAAATATATTTGTGCTTAACAAAAAAAATTCCCTTATAATTATTAGCATTGAAAATGGTCCTCTAATTAAGATCTAAAAACGAGACTCTTAAATTTCGAAAGGGAAGGAATATATTTTTGCGCAGTAATGATCCGAAGGAGGAGAGCTGTGAAATTAAAGATGATTGCAACCAAATTCAAGAAAACAAAGGGAGCATGGTGAGCGGAGAGGTCGAAGCGAGTGACGGCAATGGTGGTGGTGGAACCATGGGAGATGGTGATCGGAGAGGGGGAAGAGAGCGGGACAAAGGGGTAGAGATTAGGGATACTCCTTTGAAGTTTGTTTTTGGTGCTGGGACGGACTAGGTCAGGAAAGAGACAGAAGGGTCGAAGAATAAAGCCTCTACGAGTTCTGTTAGAAGAACGACGCCTTTGTCGTACAAAGAAAAGCTTCTATCTTTAGGGTGTGGTGGCTATCTAGTCTCGCATGAGGAGAATGAAGATATAGTCAATGGATGGAAATCATTTTTCACCAAGCAGAATCAAAGTCTAGAGGCTAATGGATATGGCGAAGATGCAGACGAGGTTGAGACTGAAGGGACTACCATTAAACCAAGGTATCCGGAACTGAAAGTTTTGCTGAACAATATATGGCGTGGTGTCAACCTTGGTGGAATTCTCTGATTGTTAAATTGTTAGGCGCACAGATACCAAAGCATGTGTTGATTG